TCTTTAACCGGAGAAACGGCTTTCGCACAATCTTCGACACTAAGAGCCATGATCAATCATAGGTAAACAAAATGTAAGTGTCAATATGACATATTGATAACAGTTACCAAAACTACCTCGTCGTAGTACAAAATAACTCCAAAAAAAAATCATAATTAAAAAAGTTCTAAATTGTGGGTGCAAATACATTTGGCTCTAAAAAATAAACCAAGGCATATTTTGTCATGAAAAAAAAAATACAATGCTTACGAGAGATCATTGCAACCTAAAAATAAGGGTTTATGAAAATTCGTAAACGGAATAATTCCACAGACCATAGGTGCATTTAGAACCACACCAGTTAAGAATCTCCAATGCCTCACAGGAGAGCCACGTCTTAATCTACGAAGAAATTATTTATGCCTTTCGTATGCAGCATTAGTCGCCAGCAACAAATTCCACCCAGTATTTCAAAATGCATTTACGGACCGTTGCCTAGAAGCTTATAACAAAAGTAGGTTCGATCCACCATTCTACGAAAGAGTTCGAAGAAATTTAAAAGATCTACAACTCCAAATTTCTGACCTCTTTCCTTCAAATTTAAAAACTCCACCTCCCTGGTTAATCATGATTCCCGAAATCAATACGACACTACTTCAATATAACAAATAAGATACATCACCCACTGTAATCCGACAGTCATGTTTAAAGGAACTCGAGACTTACGGGAAAAGCTTTTGCATTTATACAGATGCCTCCAAATCTGCAAATGACGTAGGAGCAGCATTTGTCACTCCATATTCCTCTTCCCAATTTAAATTAATGCCAGCCACTTCTATATACACTTATGCAATATTACAAGCCCTCATTCATATCAAAAGTACAAACCATTCTTCTTCCGTCATTATCACAGATTCTCTAAACTCCTTAACAACAATCGGTCAACTATATACTAAGAACCCTATAGCCTTACTTGTCAAGAAAGAACTTGCTGCCTTACAAGAATCTGGTTCAGAAGTCAAATTTATGTGGGTTCCATCTGACACGGTAATACAAGGTAATGAAAACGCAGACCTCCAAGCAAGAGAAGCTACCAAAAATGATCAAGCTATAATAGTGTCAAAGACTATCTGCAGTGATATAAAACAGTTCGTTAAAGAAAAAGTGATTAGTGCGTGGCAAAATAAGTGGAACTTATCGGAATCTAAATTTAAAAAAATTAAATCGACAGTGAAAACGTGGCGCCTAGTAAACTTAAAAAGAGCTGACCAAGTCAAAATTTCTCGACTTCGATTAGGTCATACCAATATTACTCATAAGCACCTAATAAGTAAAGAAGACATTCCAGTGTGTGATTACTTTCAAGTCAATATTACTGTTAAACATCTCCTAACAGAATGTGGAAAATATACAGTTAACAGACAAAATAACAATATTTCCAGTGACTTAAAAATAGTATTAGGTGAACATTTAAATACTAAAAACTTAATTAGATTTCTAAAAGAAACATCTTTATATAATTTAATATAATGTAGTAACTAATGTAAACTAATGTCGCTAATGACCCAGGTGGTTGAAGCGACTATTATTAGTAAATAAAAAAATAATAATAATTCCACAGAATGTTTCAAAGTTGGGTAATAAAACCTCGTTTTAATTAACACGTACGTACAATAAGTCAAATATAAAATTTTATCAAGAAAACTGACTATACCAAATTAAAATTTATAAATTTATACACAATGTGCTAAAAAAATCATCAAAATAGGGCTAAAAATAAAAAGTAAGGTAAGATAGTACATTTCAAGACTTATATTTCAAACAAAACATAAAATTAGATCAAAGGGCTAATGCAGGCATTAAAGTGGAAAAAGAAAGTACATGTACATACAAATTTATTTGATTACATACACTTAAAATATGGAATTAAATCTAGAAAATAAAAATAATCAAGTGGTTTATCGTTTTACATATTTATTTTAATTGTAAACGCAATGATATGAATTATTTATCGATTTATCAAATATCTGCATTTCATTGTTGACATAAGTACTTAAAAACCATGCATTTTTTAAATTAAATGTATGTAGAGCTACATCATTAATTCTATAATTTTTCAGGTCGATGGTTACGACTGTATTATTATTCATTGATTTATGTCGAGTAAACAATAACACCAGCTGAGGCAAAATTGAGAGAAAAAAAATATGCAGACTTGAATTTTTGTGATTTGTGAAAATTAACATTTATTTCTTCTTGTTCTTAAAGTTCCATCTCCTATCGGAGGTTGGATACTATGGTATGTTGGCTGCTGCTCTGAAAAGTTGTAGTGAACTACAGTTAAACCATTCTCTAAGGTTCCTCAGCCAAGAGGTCTGCTTCGTCTTCTTCCTTGGATCCTTCCTTGCATAATAATTCTCAGCAGCTCATATTTTTCTCCTCTGGTTATGTGACCCAAATACTCTAGTTTTCTTCTTTTTATGCTGTTCATAATTTCTAACTCCTTATTTAGACGTCGTAGTACCTTAGCTTTCGTAATCCTTTGAACCCACTGAATCTTTAACATTCTTCTGTAACACCACATTTCGAACGCTTCTATAATAGAAGCGTTCAAAATGTGAAATTCGAAAAATAATTTTTCTTATGTGTTGTTTCTTCAATGTCCAAGCTTCCATTCCATATAGTAAGATAGAAAATACGTAACATCTTAGAGCCCTCAATCTGAGATGCAACTGAAGGTCTCTGTTGATAAGCATTGTCTTCATTTTCACAAATCGTTGCCTTGCAGTTTCAATTCGGACTTTGATTTCTCTGCTTTGGTCATTTTTGTCATTTATTTTTATTTTATTTCAACATTTATTTACATAGCCGGTAAAGATGAATCGGCGTGGACAGGGTGTCCCAAATTGGTATGTTTTGAATAGAAAAAAAGTAGTTGAGATGTCATGACTTTTTTCGTTAAAGTAATGATTGGCCAATAAAATCTCACAGTAGCGAGATAAAGGGTGATTATTGAAAAATGTCGAAAACGACAGGGATCTTCTTTATAAAGAAAAATTTTTAAAAATCTTAGAACTTTTGATAAAAATATGGCAGTGTTCAGTATCGTACGAAATTTTTTTTAAGGGGTCTCACTAAAGAAATATAATACCAACTTTTTTTTTATATGAGACACCCAGTGCAGGTTTAACACAGATCTGCCTCGGCAGACTGTACTGTTTGTGGGGTACCTGATGCTCCCGCCCACATTTTTAACTGCCAGAGATGGGCAACTGAGATGGGGAATTTCGAGAGGCGAATAGGTTTTGGGCTGGATGAAAGAACTTAATTACTATTAAACTGGGAATAAGCCACAATTAAAGATAAAAATACGTTTATTGACGTTTCAATTTCCACTTCGGAAATCGTTCTCAAAATAGGTTTGTATTTTGAGAATGATTTCCGAAGTGGAAATTGAAACGTCAATAAACGTATTTTTATCTTTAATTGTGGCTTATTCCCAGTTTAATAGTAATTAATTTACAATGCCACAAGAAAATAGCTTCAGAACAATAGGATGAAAGAACATTGTAAACACAATGTTGAGAGGAGAGAAAGAATGGAGAGAAGTACACTGTCTGATTTCTGGGATGATGAAGAAAAAGGAGCAGGAGGACAGAGGAGGAAATTAAGCCAGGGATCTAAAAAGCTAGTCCGGTGCTACTGTCCTGAAAAGACCTCTGGTTAAACTGAGGCTGGGGACACCCTATATATTTTGACATTTTTTGTTTACATTTTTAATTCTCTTTCACCTGATATGACATGTTCAGTTTTTGAAGATATGTGGATATTAATCCCTTGATAGTTTTATTTAGCAAAAATAAAATCAGTACCTACCTAACTTGAAATAGATACATATATACATACATACATAATAGTCTTAACAGTACTAACAAAAATATGAAGGAATTTTCTGACCTTAAAAATCTGAACACAAAAGCTAACCCAAACCAAATCAAAAATGAATCAAAATACAAGAGTGCTAAGGTAAACATGGGTAAGCCACTATCAACAAGAAAAACAAGATAATGAAAGTACTGGAGAATGATGATGAGTATATCATTAATAGATAAAGAAGAAACCAGCCATACAATGCAGTCATAAAAGGACTTCCCACAAATGAAGACCCCAAAGAAATAAAGATTGAAATCCAAAAATGAAGTCCAGATATGATAAAGGATAGAAGAAAGAACAAGAGGCTCTGAAAACTTGCGAAATAGACTTAAAAACAGGAAAATAATTTTGCTTTTAAAATGGTAAGTATAAACAGACAGATACTAATTTCATAAATATTAATGATCACCCATGAAGAAATACTCAGTATCAGAAAACAAGAAGAACTGTTAATCACTATGAATCAGAGAAAATGCAGTACTTAAGTAATATTCAGAAGTAGAAGATACAAACTACTTTGGTTAATAATAAGAGTGTAAAATGAGAGCAAAAAGACTCCAACATGCATGGTTAAGGTACCTGAGGGATTGGTTTGAGCACCAACCTGCAAAAATCTTTAGTACTGAAGTTTTCAAAGCTACAATTGCTATTTGCTTTGACAACATTCATAAGGAGACAGCCTAAGAAGATGAACAGAAAACTTCCTTGTACTACATACTATATAAGTACCTAAGTCAAATTATAACTTTTACAGATAAAAACTGATAATCCCCTCAAATCAAATAGTAAATAAAAGCAAATACTTATAAATAAACAGATTTCAAATACAAATATTATTTTTAAGATTAGGCTGCCAATATAAAGTATGGTGTGGTATAAATACATAAATACCTACTAAAAATAATTAAACCTACACATTTTATTAATTCCAAAAATAAACCAAATAACTTCATCTGTGTAACGTATGTAATTAAAACTACAATCATAATTAAAAATAGATTTGACTACACAGATGCAGTACAGGTCAAGGCTGATACATGGTTATGGGAAAAGATGATAAATGGAGAAATAAAAATAATATTATATACCATTTTGATGAATCCAGGTGAACTGTGCGTAGCCATTTCTTGTGTTGGGTGCATAACAAGAGGTGTCAACAAGTACAAGTGCAGGTGCGATTAAAAACAACGTGAAAACTAGCAGGTACGAGGTAATTCTTGTATTTTTTGACCCCCAGCTTACCTAACCACACTTTTCACACGAAGTCGCCGCGAATACTGAATGAAACTGTTGGTGCGGGGTTGTCGAGCTGCTCGTGGGGGAAATCTTTGACTTTGAGAGGAAATAGTTTTGCAATGGAATGATTTTCTATAAATAGTATCATTGCAAATAACTACTTCGAAGAATAGTCTAATTCCAATTCATACTAAAAATTAGTAAAAATGAGCATTATCAAACGAAATATACATAGAGGAGGGTGATAATTAGACAAAAAAACATTTTTATTTCTGACATTAGTACACACTGCTCCAAGAAATTAACGCACCACTTTAAAACTTACCATTACATTACTTTACTTTGTAAAACAAACATATTTAGTGATGTTGTCGCTAACCATCTTCAATATTCATAAACGTAACACAATCTTAAAACAATTAACAACAAAATCTCTAATTCTAAAAATAGAAATTGTTCAATTTTTTTTTCTTAATAAGACGTATTTCCACCCCTGCTGCGAATGACAGCTTGGCATCGACGATTCATACTTAAAATAAACTGGTCTTAAAGTATTCTGATCCAGTTCATTCCAAATTTGAACAAGACGTTGTTCCAGTTCCTGCAGAGTGTTTGATTGATTAGGAAAATTCCGTAGACGTCTACCAAGCAAGTCCCAAACATTATCTATGGGATTGAGATCGGCACTATTCGCTGGCCATTTCATAACGTCGATTCCAACTTCCTCTAGATAATTTTGCACTATATTTGCAACGTGCGGTCGTGTATTATCGTGCATTAGAACAAAACTTTCCAATATAAGGAGCAAATAGCACAACGTGGTCTTGAAGAACGTCAACGATATATCGGTGAGAGTTGTTGGTACCGTTATTCAACACCACCAAGTCTGTACGACCCGTTAAAGAACGTCACCTCAGATCATAACCGACCTTCCACCGAATAACGTCGTTCCTCACATGTTACACTGTGCATACCGTTCGTCGGTACACGCGAATACTCCTATCACAATTGTAAAGACAGAATCTGCTCTCATCTGCAAACAGAACTCTATTCCAATCAGCCTCCAACCAATGGATATGATTTCGTGCAAATTCTAAACGCGCTCTGCGATGAGCTACGGTCAAGGCTGGCCCTCTGGCAGGTATACGATTTACCAAATTACCTTCCTTGAGACGTTGGCGAACAGTTTCACAGCTGATTCGAACATTATGAACATCTTCAAGTTGGGATTGTAAGCTTCTGGTAGTTACAAGTCGTTGTCTTAGGGTGCGAAATCGTACACCAAACAGCAATAGTTCATACAACGACTGAAAAATGACACTAACCTCTTATCGAAATTAACAAATTTACAGCACCTTTGTTTTGTGTTCCTTAGAAACCGGTTGTCCGGTTGAAACAAAAAAAAAACAATACAAGTAACCTGATAAAAACATTCCAAATACATGGTATATTCCATACAAAAATGAATTCAAGTTATGGAGGCATTAACTGAATAATAAATTAAATTTAAAACACTAATGAATCGCTTTTTTGTTTTTGTAAATGGTGCGTTAATTTCTTGGAGTAGTGTATTTTTGAATTTGTCTACAAACTGAACTAACCAGTCATCAATATGATTCTTTTCTCAATATAATCTGAAATAAATATTGCCTCATAATGTGAAGAAACAAAATCTATGAATATTTTTCTAACCATCTATATCTGTCTCATTAAGTACCATTGGTACTCAAGAGTCAAGTGGTATTATTTCAATATTTTGTTTAACCCTTAACTGGTGAGGTGCACAATATATTGCGTACTAGCATTGTACGGTAGTGGTTTATAATCAATGGTACTAGGCATCGAGCAAAAAGACAGTGTCTTTTTGCTCGATGGTACTTGGTGACGTGGGTCTTAGCGTACCCCATTTTTAAAATAATGTTTTTCGGCTTATTTTTTTTATAAACTGAATAATTGTTTACATATTGTGTATTTACATAAAAAAATATTATATTTTAAAGAGCTACCCTGATTATTTAACACATTCTGAATAAAACCCTTTATTTTGACAAGCATAAACTTTATTAGTAACATGTAACTAAAACAAATTTTGTTGAAATTTTTACAGTTAATCTTCAAAACCACAAAATGAAAGCATATTCTTATAAAAAAAGATAATAACAATTCTAAAAAGTCATAATTATTTGTTAAGAAATAATTTATTGGACCAAATTTATTTTCACAAAAATCTTTATAATTTTTTTCTGTACATTCCGGATATATTGGTGTATTACAAAATTTGCAAGAGGATACCTATAGTTTTCTTATCTTTGGACCTAGAACACTTTCCACAGCGTTTTCTTTTGTTTAAATTGTTTTCATCCATAGCAATGGGCAAGGCAATTTGCAAGATTTTTCCAATGGAAATTCGGAGTTCTCGTGACACCCGTGTGTTCTCGATTCTTCTATGAAGTTGAGGTTTTACGAAAGAAAAGACAAGTTTTTGATACTGATATCTAGATTTGTCTTTACTATTTTTTGTGCATGCATATAAAACATATGAATTTACGCAACAAATGTTCAGGAGCTGAAAAAAAATCGCCATCGGCCACCTTCGAGTTCGTTTGCTTGTCGAAAAAGTAGCACATTTTTGGTTTAGACTATCGACCCCACCTTTACTCATGTTATAAATGAAAATATTTCTTCTTTTCCATTCTCAGCATCAGCAGCCTTGTTTCTATGCAAGGAAGAAATCATTAAAACTGCTTTATTTTTTTGTGGAACATTTTCGACTTTTCAGCTCTATTTTTTGATGGCAATATCTTTCATTATTTGGTCTTTTCTGCTCTTATGTCGTCTACTCATATCTTTTAAAGTCTTCCTGTACTTCTTTTCGTCCCTCTTAATGCCCTCTAGGATTCTTCTTGTTACCTAGTATCATCATGGCTTGCTATGTGCCGGTACATTGCCGGATCTCATTTTTACGTATTTTTACCACCTCCTTCATGATATCCCTGACGTTTGATCTCCAACTTATTTTGTCGTTTTAATCTTGTCTATTTATGGTACATTATATGGTCTCAGTATTTGCAAAGAATATAGAATATATATGCATCTATATTCTTTGGTATTTGTATGCTCCTGTCACGATCTTCAACATTTCGATTGTAGTTTTATATTCTCCTGTAGGTTTATGTGTTTGGTCTTTTAATTGGTTTTATTTCACACTATTTCCTATAAGCCGATATTACGCATAATTCTGTAAGTTCGGTCTTCTTTCTATGTGGTGTTGAACATAATCTGGTATGGTATTCTATGGTCTTACTTATTTTCTTTCCTATCCTATACGGTGACGGTTTTTTTGGTTTTTTATGTTTTTATGAAGTTACAGAAGATCAAAATACCCAATTTTTATTGGTTATTTTTATTGATTTCTGTTTAATTTACCATTTTGCCTTAATTTATGTTATGTGATCATCCTTTCCTATGAAATTCTTAACCTTTGTTTAGGCTGAGCCCAGGTAGCTTTAATTAGTTAAACAAGCTTACAATTAACTAATGAGCCAATAAATGTATATAATTTCTTATTTGTATGCTGAAAACAGAAAATGGCAGTACTGTGCCAAGACAGTGACATAAAGACGCTCGTAGAAGTTCTGAAAAGTACTAGAAAAGAAACATGAGAGACAATCACTGGTTTGTCCAACTAGAATTAGGTACATATTTCGACGGTAGCCATTTTGACCATCCTAAGACATGGAGTCTTAATTATTTGTTAAATAGTCACACAAGCATCACTGACACCATACTTAAGAAACCTATCTTTCATATTAGGTCAGATACGATGATACAAGAACTTATCTTCAATGGACGATCATACCATCTATGGAACAAGTAATCTTCTATATATCGAATATGGTACACTGATGTGTCAAAAACTATTGCTAAATCCAGATAAGGTGTTCTTGGACAGAAAAATAAATTCAGCAATTTTTAAAGCTGGCGACTACACTCTACAGTGCTTTAAGGCTGAAGTATTTGCACTGATAGTCTGCATGGATGAAATCAGTAGAAGAGCTAAATTCTGAATTTATGGCCTACAATTATGGAAATGAACCACAAAAGTAATTATAGATACTAGAAAGGCTCCAGAACCGAATACGAAGGAATATTAACAGTGCTCCTTGGTATGTTCGAAAAAACGATTTAGATTTAGACCACCAAGTCGAATCTATTCCAAATAAATTAAGAAACTCACCAGGAGACATGAAAAGAGGTTCTAAAAACATCCCAACATTGAAATGCTCCTGCTTCTTGATAACCAACTCTGGATTCGAATGTTTAAACAGACATGTTAGTATAAGATAAACATAAAGTTGTTTATTGTAGACATAACAACAAATTAGCAGGTTATGCGAATATCAACAAATTAAAAATTCAGTCTATATTGTGTAGTGTATTGGCTACAAAGATCTGAGCAATTTAGGGCAAAAAAAATCTAATATCAAGGTTACAAACTTTGTTTTAAACATTTTAGGTAAAATTCTGTGCTCAAACGTTGTTGTGATAACATCTAATGCAGAAAAACTCAAGATGACTCAACGGACATAATGGGAAATGCGAGATTTGGAGTTTTTTTCTCCAGATATAAACTATTTATTTTCATCTAAACTACCCAATCATACCCAAATATGTACAGCAGAGGTAACCGCGATCAATCATGCAGTCCAAATTATACTGGAACAAAATATCACAGAAGCCATTATCTTTTCTGACTTCAAAGGGTTTTTAAAGAAACAGAACATATATCGTATTTAACGAAAAGAGGAATTATCCTAGCAACGAACAATATTATCAAAATCTTACTAGCATGGATTCCAGGATACACTGGTAGGTATTACTGGAAACTACAAGGCTGATTAACTTGCCAATCTAGGTCGTTCCCTGAATATTCCCATGAATATCAAACTACAGTTTTCAAATTTTACACCCTACTTAAAAAGAGAGATTTAGTCTAACTGGACAGCTGAAT